GAAGATTTTATTATAATATGGAGAGAGAGAACAAAGATTATGTGTTTGCAATGTTTCTAACTTATTATAAAATACAATGAAGAACCAACTATATATAGGGAATAATTTAAGCCCTAAAATTAGAGTTGTAGATAAAATAGAATGTCCAAAGGTATCCTTATTTTGATTTTTTTGAGGCTAACACAAATTTTAACTCCCAATAGGCTTTCAAATTGAACTTCAACTAGAATTTGTCCAATAGACTTTGAATAGGATTCCAAAAACATTCCAAATAGAATTCCTCTTAATATGCACTTTAATTAGAACTCTCAATTATCTTCGACAAAAGAATTCGGGTCACACTTAAATTCTAACAATTAGACATTATAAGGAATTTAGTCTAAAATTAAAATGGATATTAATAGATAGATGGTACTATGGTGGATAAAGATGGATGGGCTTTGACATAAAAGAATGTCATTTCCTATATCTTCTCTTATCTAGCTTAAACCCACTTCCTACCTCTGCATTATGTTATGTGGTTGAAACTGCAAATGAACCTCAATCCACCATAATACCATCTTCCTAGTATTATCCATTATAATTTATACTAACTACCTCATAGGGCCTAATCCGGTTCTCCAAACTCACCCTTATAGTTTAATAAAATGACTGTGCATTTGACTGGACATTCCTTTTCACTGTCAAAGTAGAAACTTTAATGTGCAACAACTAGAAGACTTGATATCTTGTTGAAATAGAGAAAAAACTATTTCTGCAACTCTCCTCGAATATTTTCAAGAAAGAAATTCATAACTTTCTCAGGCTGCTTCCTGTTGAGAGAAATAAGTGCGTATTTTACCAGTAGCTCTTCTAATATTACGTGTTAACATTACCTGGTAGACCATCATAAATATCGTCACTTGAAATCTCTTGTTGAGGTTTGAGTATTTTTGTAGATGTTGCACATCAGCATGTTCATGCATTGTTGTTCAGGTCATTATCTCTCTTTCCTCATTACTCCCATTTGAAATGTAAATATTAGGGTATTCCCGAGCCAGTGGAAGTTCCGCCTACAGCTGGAAGTGCACCTACCAGTCAGGTTCCTAATGTGTCTACTCAGCCTCAGCAAGCTGCACAACCAGGACTTGTTCCTTCAACTGGACCAAATGCAAATCCTCTAGATCTTTTTCCACAGGTTAATGATTTGACGTTGCTGCTGTCTATTCATTTCATTATGAATTTTGGGTGACATCCAAAAAATTCTTTTGTAATAGGGTCTTCCAAGCATGGGTCCAAATGCTGGTGGTGCGACCAACCTAGATTTTCTACGCAGCAGTCCACAAGTACAGTTCCAACTATGTCTCTGACACCATTGCTACTTTCTCATTTAAAAAAAAAAAAAAAAAATGGGTGTAAAGGAAAGGGAGTGTGTTAGATAGAAAGAGCTACAAAAGGTTAACAGATATCTTATTCCATATAATGTTGTAGGCTGAAATAGGGCTTTGATGGACATAGGTTTAAAAAAATAAAACAATCTTTTTTTCATGTACTGCTTTGGCGCTTTTAATTAAGCTCTGCTGGGACGATCCGATCAAGAGGTTGTCCAGTCATCTCAGTGAGGAATTTTGAAAGGGAGAAGAGAAAAAAAAGAGAGAAATGAGTAATAATAAACTGGGAAATGAATCAGAGAATCTGTTTTCTGTGACCTGAGTTGTTAAATATTTTGTTTCTTATTTGTTGCTTCAGTTCCAAGCCCTTCGAGCAATGGTGCAAGCCAACCCACAAATCTTGCAGGTTTGTAGCCTTCCATCTTAGTCATCTGTTCTCTGTAAACTCGTTAATAAGGTAAGTTTGTTGCAAAGACCCATGCCATTCTTGCTTTCATTGACAGCCCATGCTTCAGGAGCTAGGAAAGCAGAACCCTCAGTTAGTGAGACTGATTCAAGAGCACCATGCTGATTTCCTTCGCTTGATCAATGAGCCTGTTGAAGGCGGAGAAGGGTACCCTTGAGTTTGTTCATTTATTTAGACATTTGGTGTGTGTGAGTCCTGTGCAGAAGTTGTTATACTAACATTCTGTTTTGATCTTGATGCGGTATCAGTAACATACTGGGGCAGCTTGCTGGGGCAATGCCACAGGCATTAACAGTGACACCTGAGGAACGTGAAGCCATAGAACGTGTAAGTGCAAACATGCCTTCCACCTGATTTGATTTTAGAACATTTTATTTGGAATTGGTGGAATATCTTACTTTTTGAAGTTTATAATGATCTGGACTGTTTTAAAACAATCCAAAAAGCTCTTCAAATGTACCGAGATAGAAAGCCCAAAAGAGGGCAAGAGTAAGGAATGCCTCAACCCCCAAAGGCTTATTTATTCCTTGAGGCATGTACCCTGTAAGTCAGAGATAAGCGTTGACTAAGGGGACTCATCTCGTAATAAAAGTTAATTTGTTCATGAACATAAAACATACACTTGGAAGATGGAGCAGAGGTGGACATTTTTTTTTGGCATTTTGCACCTGGAAACCAAAACTGATGCCTTCTGCCCTTTGTTCGGCCAAATATAATATAGTACAATCACATATACAAATACAATGGAATATGTTGATGTAAATTCTGATAACCACTAATGATGGTGATTTCTCCCTTTTTTGCCAGCTTGAAGCAATGGGGTTTGATCGAGCTCTCGTGCTTCAGGTGTTCTTTGCTTGCAACAAGAATGAGGAGCTGGCTGCAAACTATCTGTTAGATCATATGCACGAGTTCGACGAGTGATGATAGGAATTGAGGTGGACAAGTTTATTCCTTTCTAACCTCTTTTCACTTTTTACAGTTACCTTTTCACCGTGTTTCATTTATTTCCTACTGATGTGTGTGCATCTATTGAATTTCTATTAGCCCTCTTCTTGTGGAGAGTTCAAATGATGGTCAACTGCTGGAGGGGAGATGAATGATCAGAAATGTAATTAGCTTGTCATGCCTAAGTTTGACTCTGCTCAGTGTAACTATATAACTTGTCGAATTCTTGCTTGTTCGGTAGTCACATGGTGTCTGTGATTCAATAGTATACCCGTATTTGAATTACCTAAGTTCTGAATTCACAGACATTGTGAAATTATATACAACATTTATCATCTCTATGATGTTAATATTATTGAAGTGCATCGCCATTTTTAGCGATAAAGGAGTATCTGGACCCAAAAAATTACTTGGAAATGATGACTCGTTTTCAAGGTTTGTTGCCACATAAATAGCTTCGACCTGGTTGCGATGGTGTTATAATCGTTTGCAAGTGTATGTTTGTAACACTTAAAAAGTACTAATAAATAAACACCAAGTAATTTTGATGATTATGTTAAGATCTCTTTAACTTGCTCATTACTCTCGGTTTATTGAAGAGAAAAAAATGATCTTGTAAGATTGGTGATGGAATCTACAACTTGACTTAATCGTCATTCGATTCGTTCTATGGGGGTGTTTGATAGACATTTTTATGTAAAAATGTATTTTAAAATAGTAAATTGACGTGAAATGTGTGGTTGAGAAATAATGAAAAGTTTTTTATTTACGTGTAATATTATTTTAATAAAGAATGTGTGGTTAAAAAGAAGAGAGAAAAATGTATTTTGAAAAAAATGGCTACCAAATGTCTCTTATATATTTCTTATAAGACATCAATTATGAAATCTGAATATGTTACGGGAGTCTATTTATGGTTTGAATGCGAAGTAGACGCAAGTCATACTTATGCATTTTTAAGGAATGTAGATTTGAAATTTCAAATATTAAAATATTTCCGATCGATTTTCTAGAAATTGATTTGAAACTTGAAATGTACTCAAATAGGGATATTTTTAATTTAAGGAGGGAGATTGAGCGAGCTTTTAATTCATTTCACATTTTGTATTTTCATTTTAGCAAACACCAAATGACGTGGAGCCTGATGTCATTCCCTAGCAATTAAAACACACGAGATGGGTTTATTTTCCACGAACACAGGCTTAGTTAAGAGAGATGAACTTAAAGATAAGGAAATAAATAATAATAATAAAGAAAACAAAAGAACCGAATAAAAATACAAGAATAACGGCGTTCAGATCTTGAGAACAAATGGCACCAAATACATAAATCTGCATGCATGCATTTTGTGCTTATTTAGATTTGTGTACATAACTTTTGAAATTTAACGATTGCAATTTTGATCGTCATTTGAAGCCATTTTGTGATGCATAGCCTTCAAATTTGCTGAATTGGAGTACGTTTCCAAGGTTAGAGATACTTCGTTAACAAATATTCCTAATAGTCATCGAGAACTAACTTTTAAAATCGACTTGTAATGGTTATAATTCTACAGATTAAACCTTAACTCAGGCGTAAGCACAATTAGAGTCACTAGATTAGATTACCTTAACACTCGGTGTGCAATTATTTGTAAACTTATCGAGGGAAGAGACCTTTATGAAGATGAATGGAAATACATATTTATTTAATTTGTGATTTGCCATCTGGAAAGATTTAGCCCAAGAGGCATCCAAAATTATGTTCAAGGCTACCTATCTATTAAGCCCTCCTGTTTAAACAACACTGACACTGGGAAACAATTCTAATTTATCCCCGTTCATGTTGGAATGTTCCTTGTAATGTGAAAGAACTGAATAAATATTCATGTATTAATTCCATATAATGGTACATTCAAAATATTAAATTTTTTAATTTTTTATTTTCAAGTCATTTTCCTGCACATTTTTAGTTCGTTTCTGTCATTCTGTAATGCTCAAACAGATGCTTTTAGGTAAGTGATCTTGCAGATGCTTCGAAAGGATATGGGACATTGAATAATATACTTGACTTTGATGTAAAACATGAAACGGTGAGGATACAAGGAAGTTTCTCGCGTAAATTGCGCAGAGTTAGGCAGGGTATTGATCTCGTCAGAGCCTTGTTCCAAAAAAATTTGTCATCACAGTATGTCTTGCTCCCTTGTAATGAGATTTTCTTGTTATAATATTTAATTGACTTGCGTTGCTGATGCATTTAACTGTACTATTGTTTTTGCAGAGCACCAATGGTAAGTTGTGAAAGCATATTCACTGTGTCGTATTTGTATTCATCAAATGTAATACTTTTATCATTATTAGCAACGAAAAGGTGGTGTTCATTTTGAATCTCTTATAGCATCTCAGACTTGCAGTATCAATTTTCTAGTCATGAAAATTACTCAATCCTCCCATGCCTGGTTTGTTCCATGATTTCTTTTTCTATTCACGTGTGGAGTCTCTTCTGATTTATTTTGGGTCTATGTCAAAATATTGTGTTGCTTATAAGTGGAGGCAACAGATCTGTTTTTCTGGAATTTAAGAAGTGTAACTGGTCATTTGTACTTCAGACATAAATATCTTCTACAAGTTAATCCGCTTTGAATCGAAACCAAAATTTGTTTGGCGCAAAAGCTTCGATACCACTTGTTGATCCCAAATCGGATTGTAAGAAATGAGATTTAATGACAATATTGAAGTAATCTTTCACACGATGAAAACGTGATTTAAAGTAAAGAAGAAAAAAATGGTTAATCGCAGATGAATGATGTTTATTCTGAACAATATGCAAAAAAAAACAAGTACAATTTAGCAAAATTGCTTATCAGAAAACTGATAGAGGAGCCTCATATAAATCCCTAGAAGTAGAGTTGTAAATGAAATAAAATGTCTAAAAGTTTCCTTATTTAAACTTTTCAAGTCCAACTCAAATTTCAACTCCCAATGGACTTCAAAATAGAATTTTATATAGAATTTGACAATTAAACTTGAATAGAATTCCTCAAAGCATTTCAACTAGAATTATTCTAGATGTGCACTTCAATTAAAGTTCTACAATTATTTCAATAAAAGAAATTGGGTCACCCCAAAATTCTAACAATCTCCACCTTGACATGAATTTCGGTGCAACCGAACAAAAATCCTAGATCTCAAACCATCTGTATCGAAATGAACTGGCCAATCTCCTCAACGCAGTAACCGAAACACTCCATACAAACCAATCAATCGTCTTGTGCCCGGTGTCCACAAGCGACACTTGAACCCAATCCCAGGGTTCCCATAATTCCTCCTCGAAATTAATGTTGATCACACAAGGTTGAAGCACACCTTGTAGCAAGAACCAAACCAGATGCAAGATCAAAAGGCCTCTTTTTGGAACTGTCACCTTCAACGTCTCTAGAAGCATCCCATACATTATTGACACTACGGTACCTACACTGGATGAGTTTAACCCCAACAACTGAACACAGTGTACCCGCTAAAATTAGCGGCAAAGCAGAATCACCAACGCTCTCCCTAGCAGTATTCTAAACAAACTCAGAACCCAACACAAGAGGTATTGTACTAGACTGAACTTCCACCAAGGTACTAAACTTGTCCAAATGTCTTCTCTTAACTGGTTCTGCACTACCCTGCAAAATGTACAACTCGGATTTTCTCCGTCCCTTAATTATAATTCGGACTCCCTTTCGGACCTTTAAGACTCCACCTTCTCCAAAGAATTTATACCCTTTTGCATCTAGGGCACTCAGCGAGATGAGATTCCTTTACAGATCTGAAATATTTCGAACCTAACCAAGTGTTCTGACTGTTCCATTCTGCAACCACAATCTGACCCGATCGATTCCAGCAATACGGCATGACTGATTGTTTTCCATTACAACTCTACCTTGTTGAACAACCTCATATGTCTGAAATAAATTCCAACCGGAACACAAATGGTGCGAACATGTCCAATTAAGACTCTATTCCTCGTCAGGCTTAGATTCCACATCAGATACCACGGTCAACATCACATCTCCGCCATCTGAAAAATCCTCAACTACATTGGTTTGTCTGAAGTCAAATGTTGCGTTCCACGATTTGCAACTAAATCACCTCTAACCTGCAATATATTGCAATCCTTCTGAATATGTCCCTTCTGTTTGCAGTAGTAACAATACACATTGCTAAAGTTGACTTTCGATCTATCTCTTTATCGACCACCTTGAGATACAAGAGCTTCACCATCCCTTGATGTAGCTCCAATCAAATGCTTCATCTTTTCCTTTGAGTGCAAAGCATCATAAACATCGTCTATAGTCAAAGTATCTCAGCTATACAAGATGGTGTCCCGAAACGATGCATGAGAACCAGGCAGCGAACACAACAGAATCAAGGTAAAATCCTCTTCATTGTACTTAACCTCCAATGTTTTCAAATCTACAACTATTTTCTTAAACACGGCAATGTGATCTTCAAACGATCCTCTTTCCGCCATGCGATGGGAATACAGCTTCTGTTTAAGAGCCAATTTACTAATAAGACTCTTAGTCATACATAATTGCTCTAATCTCAACCACAAAGCAACCGCCATCTTCTCCTTCAAGACATCTTACAGAATATTGGTGGATAAATGAAAATGAATCAACAACACAACCTTTCAATCCTTCCGTTATTTCTCCTCCATTATCCAATCAGCTGGCATCTTCTCAAAACCTAGCAACGCATCGTCCAAATCCAATTGCGCCAAAATAGTTCTCATCTTTACTTGTCACAAAGAAAACCTTGTATTCGATCCAGCAGTGAAATGTCATACCTCATGGTAGTCATCTCTAAAAAACCTCAACTAATCCACAGTAGAAGAACCAAGATTCGATACCACTTGTTGGGCGTGGAAGCTCCAATACCATTTGTTGATCCCAAACCGAATTATAAAGAATGAAATTTAATGACTATATTGAAGTAAACAAGATCACACCATGAAAACAATATTTAAAGTAAAGAAGAATAAAATGGTTAATCGCAAAGGAATGATGTTTATTACTGAACAATATAGAGAAAACAAATTCAACTAAGCAAAATTGCTCATCACAAAATTGACAGAGGAGCATCATAAAAAATCAATCCCTAGAAGCAGGGTTGTAGATGAAATAAAATACCTAAAAGTTTCTTTATTTGAACTCTTCAAGTCCAACTCAAATTTCAACTCCCCAGTGGATTTCAAAATAGAACTTTAAATAGAATTTGACAATTAAACTTGAATAAGATTCCTCAAAACATTCCAACTAGAATTCCTTTTGATATGCACTTCAATTAGAATTCTACAATTATTTTAACAAAAGAATTCGGGTCACCCCCAAATTCTAACAAAATTGGTGTTTTCTCTTTTTAAAAATCTTCGAAGGAGATGGAATTCTTGAAAGAATTTTATGGTACTTCTGGATCCCCGCATCTGATGATCAGACAAAAGACATCAAATTTGATTTTCTTCCAGACGTTCTAGGGTCTCGTGTGTATTATTAGTTGCCTAAGTTCATATGAGCTAGATTGTTTGTGTCATGGTTTGCTTCTTTTGTTGCAGTATATGCAGTTTTTGTCTAATCATGAACATAGAGGACATGAAAAGTTTGAGTTGGAATAGCCAAGGCGTCTGTTTTTTGCGTTCTCAGCGTGCTTTTCTCTGTTTCTTCTCTGTCCATATTTCTTTCTTCTGTGAATTCTTGTTGATGCTGTATTAATCCTGTACGGATCCTAATTATCGGCTCATTGCATTTATCATTCATTTATTGTGGAAATTGGCTATGAATTCATTCCTGATGCAAGAAAGTGCAACCTATAGAATGGCCATTCTAAATAATATTGGGGAAACTGTCATAAAATAATTGGATAAAACGACTTGAAAAAGTGAAGCCTGGAATCATTCTTCCATGTCATGGGCCATCCTGTTGCTCTGTGACCCTGTCGTTATCATCTTGCTTGCTTGTTTACATGCACATCTATCTACACACTTGAGTCATAATGTTTATATAATGTGAAATTCTTCAAGAGAAAGCTAATTTTTCTGAACTCAAACCTAATTTTTGATGTCTACATGGTTATGCAGAGAAAAAAAATTTGAACTTACTCAAAAGAATCTCAGAAGACAATTTTTCTGAATTCAAAGCTTATTTTTGAAGTCTATGAAAAACTTGAAATTACCCAAAGAAAAGGCAAATACCTGAAAATCTACCAGATTATAGGAATCATTTTGAATGTACAACATTTGGCATGGGAACCGAGAAATATCCAGTTAGAACTTTACGATGAATATGATAGTCTGCTGTGAAACAACTCGGAATATCAGCTTCAGTTGCTCTGCATACATTTGGTATTTGTTATTCTTTGAACTCATAGTTTATATTCACCGTGCTACTTTCAGGGATTGCTGTTTAAGAGAAGCTGCTTCAATAGCTTATGCAAAAACATGTGCGCCTTATCACAGATGGGCAGTCAGGACTGCTGTTTCTGCCGGTATGTATGCCCTTCCAATTTCCAACAAGGGAACAGCTACTGTCAAGGCTAAATGAAAGCAGTGAGTTTACTCGCGTGACTTCCATGTTGCATACTTGGCCACATTTTTATGGCGCTAATGAACGATTTTACTGTAAATGATAAGTGTTAATATGCAATAGAATTGGAAATGGATCTAACTCTATGAATGATAAGTGTTAGTATGCAATAGAATTTGCAGAGTTTTAGTTCAAGAACATTCATTTAAGAGCTCTGTCAAGAACTAACAAATAGAAAATGAGATCCATTTCTCGAGTTGGCTATGGATTGGAACTCTTATTTAGCTCTTTGTTGAATACTATAATGGTTTTCCAGACCGAGGCTATCAAATGCAGTATTTTTTGCAAAACGTCTTTTGAATTTCATCGATGGTTGGAAAATAAATGAGTTTATGGTTATTCTTTGAGCACAAGCTTGGAGAGTAAATTTCAGAGAGAATCTAGTATTAACTTACATTAGGAATTGATGGTATTTATGTGTTTTAGGTGGTGCTTAAGATCTACTCTGCAAACTCGAAACAAAACTGGTGTTCGCAACATTTTGTTACAGACGAGTCCGCAGAGAAGGAAATGCAAACATACATTGATACCTCACTTCGATTATACAATACACCGATAAGGTGTACACTTCAAGAAATATCAGCTTGGACTGATGAGCTCTGATTCATATGGAAAAACCATTGGTTTAAGTTATGTTTGGAAGTCATTTCAGAAGCAAGAAAGAACTACTGCCTGTTGGGATGAAGCTTTTCTGATCAGTCCCGACTTGAATCGTCCCTGCCATTAACAATCTTATAGGTCTTTACACAAGTTCTTCATGTTGAGCCGTCGTAGATCTTTAAATGTTCGTGGACATGGATGCTTCTGCTTGATTGTTTCCAAGCCGCCATGACACAGGCTTAGGAGTAGCAATATTTTCTCTGGTCACGTGGTAGTGTCGAATAGCTAATGTTTCAGCAGATAGTAAGTACCATGATTTTGTAAATGAATTGGATTTTCTGCAGATTCATAGAACATAGAATTCTGTACAATGCTCTTAACGTCGTGTTGTCTTCATCACTTAGTGAAAAATCGTTAGGCACGAATATGTTAGATACTAATGGATCTGGGGAAGACTACCTGTCCAAATTGCGAATAGACAAAGTACGTGTTTGGCTAAGCCTTGGAAAATATACTTAAAAGGTTTACTCATAAGTAAATAATAAGTCTTCTATTACGCAAAGATGAAAATTAACAAATAACTCTTTCCAAATAAGATAAATACAGTGGTGTCATTCATATGATATAACTAGCACCAACTTCATTGATCACGCTCAATGTTTTGAACATCGAAAGGAAAAAACGAAGAAATTATTCAAGTGACTGGGTGAACTACATCTCAACAAGTTTGAATGCACAGTTTCAAAAATTTGTCAATTATATATTGAGTTGTCTCTTCCACTGAAAGAAAAAGAAAGAATGGAATCTAAACATTGACAGAAGTTCATCACGCTGCTAGAAACTTAGCCGACTTTTGTCTAATGGGAAACCAGGGAACACCTTTTAGGAGCCTAAATCTTCATCTACATTGTCAAGCTCTCGGGGTTCTCGATAATCTTTGAGAAGGTTTGAAGAAATGCAGCCAAATCAGCACCATAAATAATTCGATGATCAGCCGTAACATTCACCTGAAAAATATTCACCAAAGAACAATTATGAGATGAATGCATTGAGAAACTTCAATTAAAAATTATGTAACATTTCGATAATGGCGCTTCAAAGATAATAATTCCAAATGTTCACTCATTAGCATTTTGTAACTTGATTTTTAACACTAAATTGTGAAGCAATGACCAATATAGTTTAATATCTCAAACTAGGTAATACACGTGCTTCATTATTCAGGGACTTATTTACAAACAACTAAGTCATGATAAGCAACATAAAGGATAGACAATAGAATAAATTCTCAAAATTTTCTGTCAGATATAAAGTTGCCGACATTTTCCTCAATTTATTAGCTTGCATCCAAGAATCATATCTTGAGATAAGAACCGGGCTAAACTCAAACATGCATGGTTCTTCTATAGTTCTATTACACGAATCAATGGATAGAGAGCTGGCAAAAGCATGCAAATAAATCCTGTGTAGATAACATAACCAATATAAGACATGATTATCAACGAGTTCGGATTTTGGATGAAGCAGGATCCTGAAGGTTTGTGATTGTTCTCTGAATTTTTATTGATATTATTAAGTATAACTATTAGAAATTCCCTGAAACATGCCATCAAATAGTACTACAAAATTATACTTATCACAATGCAGAGTTGCTAATGATGAAGTATTGCATGACAGCTTCACCTTAACCAGCTGGTCACATAAATTTTCAGACTACACTAGCGCGTGCACGAAAAAGAAAAAAGAAACAAAAGATAGTGTACTAGCAATTACTTTCAGGAAGGAAAATACTGTCCCGGGTACTTTACCTTTGCAGCCAACATATACAACTAGGATAATGATGATCATAGGTAATGAAATGGGGCAAGATGTGTCTAGAAGTAGAAACAAGAACAGATATGTTAGCAATGGAAGGAAGAATATTTCTCTGTTACTTCCACTAATTTCAAGCTCCCTCACAAAAAGAGAAAAATAAGAACTATGTCTTCTTTAAAAATGAAATAAGGAATGAATTAATAGAGACTCTTAATCAATTCAATCTTCTTTGTCATTAACCACAGAGGAACTAAGTGTATCTTCCTTGCCTTAATTCATGACCAACACTGCAACCAAGTTTCTCTGATTCACTTAGGGTACTCATTTCAGCCAGCTTTCGGTGATTCATGATTGATGATACGAAATTACACTAGGAATTTAAATTTACAAATCACGCCCACGTCAGAAGTGACTGGCATTAGATGATGAGGCAGAATTATTTTTACATTGTAATGCCCATAATTGTTTTCATTTTTTATCCTCACGTAAGACGACATATAATTCCATAAATTTAAGTCTTCAAAAATTATGATACTTTCTTTAGCTGTCAATTGTCTGATGAAATCGTCATCCTTTATACCATGCTAGTAGTATCATTATCCTTTTCCAGATCACTCCAAGAGCACCACCCCAGGACTCCAGTTATTATATAGTCTTCAAACTCGAAATTGCAATCCCAAGGATTATCGATTGCCAATATCATTATTAGAGCATAAAGAGACCTTATGACTCAACTTACACCAATTTTACCTTAAACTAATTCCTATGCATATTTGACTATCTGCTTCACTGAGTAGAGACTGACCTGAAGTAGTAATCTACTACATGGGACGTATAATTCGCAGACCAAAAATTATTTGTTTTGCTGAAATTGCACCAGAATCCGAAAAGCTGTTGTGATCTGAATTCTATCAACCATTCTAAGAAGCACTCTTCTAATCTAATCCATCTCAGCAACAAGTGTTTTGGAAAGCCAATTAAGGACCAATCACTACTAGAAAATTATTGAATAAAATTTTTAGTTCAGAAGAAAGCAACAAGTTGCCCAAAAAAAGTAGTTTTAAGCAAAGTTTCAATCATGAGGGAGAAATCAACCAAGGAATTTCTGTTTCACATATTTTATCCATCACAACATATTTTGTTACCCATAAAGTATGTGGAGAAACTGTGCAAAACAAGAATCACATTAACCAGAGCATAAACTCACCAGCATCTTATTTTTGACGCTAAAGAACCCATCTTTATCGGCTAAAACAGTAGGCTTTGATGCTCCAACAGCCATAATGGCTCCCTAACATTAACGAAAATATTTTTGTAATATAGTTGCCATTTCGTCAAAAAAATGCTACATCAGTGTGCGTAAACCAGATATGACGTTGTATTGTATCTCTCACCTGGCCTGGAGGGAGGATAGCATCAAATCTGTCCACTCCAAACATGCCCAAATTGGACAATGTGAAAGTTCCTACATGCAAAACGACCATAAATTCAGTACCTGTGCCTACATTGAATCTAAAAATTCATGTTACGTATCCTTAAACACCCATTGAACTATCACTACTTAAATACCTGAATTGTACTCATTAGGTTGAAGTTGTTTGGCCCGGGCCTTCTCCACCAGCTCCTTCCATTTTTGAGACAACAGATAAAGATCCAACTATGGAAATCACAAACAAGTCAACAACATCAGAAAGAAATTCCAAAATTCTTAAAACCAAAAACTAAACAAAGGCACTGAGCCAAATGTAGTTCATACCTTATCAGCATCCTGAAGAACTGGGGTGATCAACCCTCCATTAATTGCCACAGCCACTGCAATATTTATACTGCTATTATATGTAAAACTCTTCCCATCTTTACAGGTTGCATTAACCACTGGATGCTGAGCCAGTGCCATTGCTGCAGATTTTGCTAACAATGCAGTCATTGTCACGCCCTTGGGCTTCACCTATCATCAATGAAACAAATAGCAAGTTTTTTGAAAATTCCAAACCTTAACATTATTGAATGTCCTTTCAATACTAGCTGTATTGATAACAGTAATCTAAAATGGCACAAACAACCTATCTTGAAGCACAGTAACGTAGATTTTTGTAATTTAAAACCTGTCAAATGTATCTCAATATGCATTAAATGAATTAATGTCAAATATTTCTCATTGAAGACTATATTCTTCTCACCATTTTGTAAACTTGCAAAATCACTATGTTCCGATTTATAGCCACATTATGAAATTGAATACTAATGTCTTATATTGATTATTCTTATCATTTCAATTGCATATTTAGCTAATATAAGAGATCGCAGGTTGAGTGAAAAAAAATTCCATCTACATTAAGAAAACATGATAATCAATAAAAAGGAATTCCATATGTATCATTCTCATATCAGTTATTCAAGATAACATCTCATCGAGGCTTGTAAATTACTCATGAGATCTATTTCCAGAAAATTTGTTATCAAAACCGAATGTATCCAACATTTTAAACCAAGAATTTCAAGGCACGCCAAATAATACCATAATTGCCTATACCTATATTATCATAAGTGAAATTGTGATATGCAACTAGATTATAACGCATTAAATAAATATACCTTCTCATAGAGAGCATCGAGGGCATCAGTGGCGATTGGATACCCAACCCTGAAAGTCGGCACTGACAAACTCTCCACCATATTCTTGGACACTGCAGTTTGCATAGTAGTAAATGGCACCACGGTCGACCCAGGAATCTCTGGAAAGCTCGATGGAGCTTTTGGCGGAACTGCAGCAGGAGCAACAGACGCCGCTGGAGCTGCAGGGGCAGCCACATTGCTCTTGGAGGCAGGCGTAATTCCAGCTGCCTTCTCCACATCCTCAGGTGTAATTCTCCCAAACGGCCCTGTGCCAACCAACTTATCAATATCTACCTTGTGCTGTTTAGCCAATTTCTTGGCAAATGGAGTCGCCACCACCTTTCCCGGTGTAGAAGGAGCCGCGGTGGGAGCCGGAGCAGCAGCAACTGCCGGAGATGGAGCATCTAGTTTAGGGGCAGGCGAGGGTTCCTCAACCTTAGGCGTTGATGGAGCAGGGGCCAAGGAGGATTGAGATGTAGCTTTAGCCTTAGCTTCAGCTATTTCATCCTCTGTTTCTGCTAAAATTCCAATCGCCGCACCAACAGGAGCCGTCTCTCCTTCATTAATAACAATGGCCGCCAATATTCCATCATAGAACGTCTCCACATCCATATCAGCTTTATCAGATTCCACAACAACAACAGATTCACCCTTCGACAACACATCACCTTCCGATTTAATCCAGCTGACGATTTTTCCCTCCGTCATGGTCGAACTCAACGCGGGCATAAAGATCTCGCGAATCTTCGCCCGCACGACTGGGATTCGTGATCCAGAACGGGGTTTCAAGAAAAATGCAGAAGGGCGTCTGACAGGAGTGGAACTGAGGGATGATGAGAAGGAGAGGCCTGGAGTTCTTGATTGTAAAAGGGACGCCATTGTTTTCGATAATGGAGCAATTGCTATGTAGGATCTTGGTTTTTGTATTGAGAACTATTATGTGGAAATGAGTGTATATTATGCAGAGGAATTGGGAGTTGAGAGTGGGGACTGGGGAGGGCGGAGAAGACGAGGGAGTTGGTTTGTAGTTAGCTTAGAGAAGTCCGCCTGCCAGTGTGTGTGAAAATGGAGCTAGGTCGATGTTTGTATTTGGTACTAACGTTGTTGTTAACAGAAAACAAAATGATTATTCTTTTAATTGTTAATTTTATGCTGCTGGGAAGAATTAAAATTGTATTTTAGGCCATCTCCAACTCTGCACCAAATTTTGCACCATTTTACATCAAATTTTATACCAAATCTTGCAACAAACTAAAATTCATCTTCAACCATCACACCAAATGAACAGTATTTAACCATTTTCTTCCCTTTTTTATTCTTTATAATCTACTTATTTGAAATATTAGTTATTTAATTATTTCATAAATACATAGATTACTAAATAAATAATTACGTTAAATTACGGAAAAGATTAAATTCATTAATAAATATAAAAAACATAGAACAATTAATAAAAATACAATTAATAAACATAGAACATAAATTGCTATTTAATATATTTTGTGTTAACTTTAATAAATAATCGTGTTTGATGTATTTTAAATTGTTTTCATTTTTTAATTAATTAATTAATTATTATGTCTTACATTTAAAATTTATTTTAAACACAAATAATATTAGTATTAATAAAAAATAATAATAATTTATTGTATTAAAAAATATATAGCACAAATTACATAAATACCCTCAACAAATTTATTTGAGAAATGTTAAATAAGAGCAAAATGGATATTTTACACTTTGCACCATTTTTCACCAAAATGGTGCAAAGTTTGGTGTTGGGTTGGAGCAATTTTGCACCAAAAAATGGTGTAAAATGGTGCAATGGTGTTGTGGTTGGAGATGCCCTTAGAGTCGGCTAAAATTTATAATTGGCTTTGATATTACCCTAAACTATAGCATAATTTTTTTTTTTCACAGGTCTGCCATTAATTTCATGTAGATAGCGGGAGTGCCTAGGTTTTTTTTTTTTTTTACACATGTCCAAACTGTAGTTGGCTAATTTCACGTTCAAAATTATAGTTTATTGAATTGGTATTAAAGTCAAAGGATGAAGGGTTGGCAGTATAGATTTTGAAGGAGTCAGAGAAGCCAAAAAAAGGACCAAGGGGAAAATATCTTTGCAAAATCGCTCGATACCCATCTGAGGAGCGCTCAAACAAAAATTTTTGAACCATCGTCGCTTGCTAGATACCTGTTGGGCGCTCGAGCTGCCACGAGACTGCTTGTTGGCAGCAAGGAATGCTCTCGAACCGTCGGCTTATCTGAGTAGCATTTTGTTCGAGTTTTTAACGAATTTTACAATCATGTTCAACCTCAAATACTTGATATTACAAATACCCAAGCATGGTACGTCCACCAATGTGGGTTGATCATTATTTCATACAAAAGAATATCATTTGAAGATCATAAACATATTTCATAATTATCTTGATTCAATCAAAAGATCAAAATATAAAGGATCAAACACCAAAAATCACTAACTTCACCAATAAGCCTTTAGAGTTATGAAATTAGGAAGAGATAACTGGAATTTCAATTATTGTAGGACGAGTTTGTTCTTGGTGATCCATGCAGAGGAAAAAGAAGTCGAGCTATTCGAAAGTGTGGGTTGCACAATTGAAGAGATTTTTCAGTGATTTACAGATTGAATGGTCAAAGTTTACTAAAGTTTAGTTGTGTCTAAACCAACTATAATTTATCATTTCTAATGGATCTTTTGGCAAGATTTGTCCGAAATTTTTTTATCCCAATTACAAGTTCTTCAAGGAATTTTCCTTTGTTACCAAATTTGGTATTATTTACTTTTATATTTTTTATTTGTATTGCATAACTGACGCTTGGGGTTTAATTGAATCTTAAACTTAATCATCTAAAACAATAAATAAGTGATTTGTTGTTTTTTATTGATTGATTATTTTAATTCCGCATTATACAGTTTTAGGTGTTGTTGGGTCTAAACATTGTGCTATTTTTCAATAAGCATATAATTCAAATTTTCGAGAAACTTATTTGATCAATGTATAGAGATACTTCGCAATCTGAAATTATGCAATATGATCGTTTTAGTGACATGTCTATTGAAAATATGTACAAGAATGACCATATACACGTGTGCATATAAATCAATATCTGAATTTGTAATTACTATTATCAATGATTTAAATATTATTGAAACTTTCAAAGAGCTTCCAAAAAAAATTGATGAGTTAGAAGGGATTCATGATGAAAGATCCTGAACAAATAAAAAATAAAATTCGACCTACAAATCGTAGAAACAATTTAAACGGAGTTCCCTGAAAAATAAATTCTAAGAGGGTAGAGTTTATATTACTTTAAGCCTTTTCAAGAATATTCCTCGACCTTAAACTAAAATTACTACCACGTCGCTTTCTTCTCTGTGCCTTAAGTGGAAGATCCCCCTTATGATGAAACCAACGAAACTTGTAGAGTGAGTAAGTGTGACCGCACTACTCGGAACGTCTTTCACTCCTAGCGGCTCTGCTTCTTGTGCTTTTCTTGTTGATGAGGCATCAAAAAGGTTTCTGTGTTACCTAGAAAAATGTTGTTCCTATGAGAAAATTTTTCTTGTTTTATCTTTTCAATTGACTAAAGAGGGAATACAAGCCCTAGGAATAGCCTCTAGGAATTGTCCCTTCAGGCCTACCTTCAATTGTGGTCTCACAACCATCTGCAGGTATCGAGGCTTAATAGATTGAGAATATGAATCCCAAGTCGGCTACTCACATTCAATGGTAGTCAATTTGCCCAGCGGAGAGAACATATATAGAAAATTGATAAAGAGATTTCAAATGAAAATGATACGTCCATTTGATATGCGATGATTATTTGTTCACTTGAACTAAAAAGAAAATCATTTGTTGTCCTTATTGGTCTTAAAAGTGGTGCATCTTATTGCAATTGATGAACTATCAAATCTTGCTTATATTTCATGATTTGAGACTAGTTGGATGATGTAGTGTACTATTTGATCCACATAAAGCTCGCCAACTAATTTTTCTATTCATGTGTGCCCTATATTGTGACAAATATATTCGCAAAGACATTTATTTATTGTAGTACTTGAAGAGTTGATAAATACAATATAAAATTTTAAGTGATATTATTACAATGGAGAGTAAATACGCGTTGTACTCTTTTTTCATTGATCGAAATTTATTCTATTGAATTTTTTAAACAATGCATTAATAAGGTAACTTCATAGCATATTCAAAAAAATAGTGTACTCTTTTTCCTTCACTAGAGTTTTTTCCCCATGATTTTTTTCCTAATAAGATTTTAAAGAAGCATGGTCTTTGTATAATAAACATTTGATGTTCGAAATATTATAGTTATAAATGTAAATAATTTGCGAAATATTTACTCTCAATATAATTCTTTTTTTTGTCCTTGTTTGATATGAATAGTATTTTTAATGTGATTGAAATAGACCATCGTGTTGATTGCATTCAACTAGAGAGGAGTAGATGGATATTTGTATGAAGATGATGAGATTGAAAACATTGGTATACAAGATATGGATTACTCGATATAAATATTTTCACTATAATCAAGAGGAGTAGCTGTATTATTTTTCTTTGCCTATATTTTATCCCAATGAATTTTCTTCACAACTTTTTTTACAAAATAACATTTGAATACTCTAATTTTTTTTAAAATTTTTTTTATAGTTGATTGAACTATTTTCCTTTCGTTTGGTATTTTTTTCACCAAGTTTTTAACAAACAAATTTTTTAATGAGAATATGATGTGTTTTAGTGATCCGAAGTAGAGTATTCACACCACAATTTTTACATCTTGCACCACATTATTGCACTTAAGATTTATAATCTTTGCTCATTATAGCACTTATGTCTCTTATGATTTTTCATGTCATTCTTATCCTCAAACTTTTCATTAGTTAATATATTTTTTATTTGATAATAGTTTTATGTCCAAAGGTTCATTGAAATAGCATAAAATATCTTCTTCTTTTTTATCATATTTTTAAAATAAATAAATAAAAAGTGAAAACACATATTTTCCTTATTTCAAAACATGAAAATAAAATATTT